GAGAGCTCGGGGTAAAGGTGTCAGTTTTGTTGCCAGATAAAAGGGTTAAAAAACAATTATCATACTTTTCTTCTGGCGAATGAAATTCCAATGGTGTAAATGTTACGGTGGATCAACCCTTCTTTTTTCATAAAAACGATAGTCCAATAAGAGTGTTAAAACATTTTTGAAGCACCCTGCAATTGTTGAAAGGGCGTTCGGGGAACTGTTCCGGCTGACATAAATCGCAGGTTGTATGCCACGTGCGGCACGTGACCAGGTTCCATCGCTGAGCCGAGGAAACCTGCGCAGTTGTCCACAACGCAGCGCGGCTCCGTCGCAGGGGAGTGAGCGCGACAATGGGTTGAAGAACAAAACATCCACCCACACACACATCCACCCACCCACCCACACACCCACACACACACACATCAACCCACCCACACATCCACACACACACACCCACACACACACCCACACATCCACCCACCCACAGACCCACACATCCACCCACCCACAGACCCACACATCCACACAACCACCCACACATCCACCCACCCACACATCCACCCACCCACACATCCACGCACACACACGTACATACCCACCCACACACCCACCCACACACCCATCCACGTAATATCCACCCACCCACACACGCACCCACCCACACACACACCCACCCACACATCTACCCACCCACACATCCACCCACACATCCACCCACACACACACACATCCACCCACCCACACACCCACCCATACACCCACCCACACACACGCCCATCCACGTACACGCGCACCCACCCACATATCCACCCACACACGCACCCACACATCCACCCACCCACACACCCACCCACACACCCACCCACCCACCCACACACCCGTCCACACACCCACCCACCCACCCACACATTTTAATTGAAGACGCGAGATGACGAAAAGCGAAGCGCCGCAAGTCCATGAAAGCACTCCGCTCCACTGCGTTCAAACCCCCGCGTCGTCCAGCGTGCACCGCCGGCGACAGCGTGGGGAGCTGCAGCGCCGGCACAGCCGAGGAGTCGGAGGTGCATGGGGCAGCGCAGATCGAATGTCGACCTGGGACCAACAACCACCGTGGCGGTCGTGGGCACCTCGCCTGAGTTGGCTTCAACAACAAAAACATATTGAGCCTGGGTCAGCGCCCTTCGGTTTCCGTCTCTGCCGTGGCCGGGGAGGCCGCCCAGGGAGTCCGTGCGCCCCGTTACACCCAAGGGTGGTGTCAACATTTTGAAATCGGGGGGGGGGGGGGCAGGGATGGGAGTGGGCTACTGACTCCGTGACAGGAAAAGGCTGTGGGGGGGGGGAGGAAGTGGGGGTCTGGGTCTGGGGCCAGGGTTAAGGCAACGCCGCAGACATGTCGTGGGGAACACGAAATGAGTGCATCCTGCGTGGAGGAGCTGTAGGCCGAGTGGATGCAATACGAGATCCCACCCTCGTAGCTTCAGTGTCTCGAGAACTGCTGTGTTCACTACGTTATATTTTACGTGACATATCTTTTCACAGTAAAACACAAGCATCATCTTTGGCTCTTTCGCTAAAGTCACGTAGGTATAAAATAACGTGACTTTACCGAAAGAACCAAAGAGTATAGATTCCTGCATTCACGAAAGCTTCAAATCAAGACAAGCATTATCAATAAATATTTTGTCCTGCTAGAATCAAGCCAGTTGGCTTCTACGCCCCTCTCTCCGCGGTGATTATTCAGTGAGAGGCGGAGGGAGGGGGGGTGCCGTCTATTGTTCTTCTGGGGGGCGGGGCGGCGGCGAGACCCACACTCTGTGCTTCTTCCCCGGCACCGCCTACGGCTGGCTACAAAGACAAAGATCCCCCGTATAGCCTGTTACAGACTGTTGGAGCAAGTGCTGTTAGCGAGCACCTATGAAGGCCAGAACGGCACACGAGGGGGTAGGTGGCGAGCACCACGCCCGGCCGCCTTTGTCTCGCCAGTGGCGATGTTTACACACCGCACCAGGTACTCATTTTAGGCTGAGTCGACCTAGGGGAGGCCCAATGACCCGGTTCGAATAATCGTCACTGGTGTTGGCCGCGAGCGGGAATCGAACTCGGGACGCCGGGTTCATAGCGCAGCGTAGCGCTAACCACTACACCACCGCTCCCCCCTGCGGCTGACTACAACAACAACCGCCATTCGCCACTAAGTGGCGGTGACGTCACCACGACGCTTGTGCCAGGCCATGTGCACCTTGAGGCCACGTGAAGTGTCGAACGCCCGCTGGCAGGAGGTCACGGGGCAGACCCAGGTGCCACGGGTCGACTGACTAAGATGACCGAGATAACTGGCTGATGCACCACATGTGCCCCCTACTGTGACAACGTGCAGTGCTTTAGCCACCCGGCGTTCCGCTCGTTGTTGTGAGCGTCGCTCCTCCGTTGTTGTTGGAGGGCGACTGCCTCCAACTGCCCAGTAGCGTCCTTCACGAGCCTCCTCCACTGAGGCCGATCTTGACACAGCTGGTACCAGTCATCGGCAAGTCCACTCAGTATACTTAGAAATGTAATGTAATACAACAGAGAGTCGGATAACATAACAATCAACACCCTACCTGTTTGATTACTACACAGAGGTGTGCTTATGTTTGTTCTCTCTCTATGTATCTTTGTGATATCTGTCTGCTTATATGTCTGTCTATGTCTCTGGTTCTGTGTTTTATCTCTCTCTCAAATTTAGCATTCTCAGGAAGAACGTAATCAACCAGGTAGGGTGTTGACTGTTATGTTATCCGACTCTCTGTTGTATTACATTACATTTCTAAGTATACTATATTTGTGTGTTCTATTTCATTTATACCTGATGATGATTGCTTGTGTTGCAATCGAAACGTCGTATGCTAGTATTTAATTTATTATTTTATCTTTATACGTGACTTTACCGAAAGAACCAAAGAGTAAATTTCGATTTAAAGCTTTCGTGACTGCAGTGATTCATATTCTTGGTTCTTTCGGTAAAGTCACGTAGAAGGAAAATAATAAAATAATAAAAATAAAACATAATAAAATAATTCTCACGACGTTTCGGCCACAACGCAAGCAGCCGTCTTCAGGTGGAGAACAGGTCTGTCGAGAAGGCAGAGTCTGACCTGTTCTCCACCTGAAGACGGCTGATTGCGTTGTAGCCGAAACGTCGTGAGAATTATTTTATTATGTTTTAATTTTATTATTTTATTATTTTCCTTCTACGTGACTTTACCGAAAGAACCAAGAAGATGAACCAAAGAGTAATTCCTGCAGTCACGAAAGCTCCAAATTAAGTTTAAGTCCACTCAGATCCACGTCCTCCAAACTACACCACACACGCACACATCTTCCCGCAGAACACCCTCTCCCGCCACGGCCTCCTCTCCACGCCGCTTTGGCAGCTCCGAGTGTGACTAATGTCCGTCGCCCAAACTTGGCCGCAACAAACAAAGACGCGGCGCGCTGCCAATGAGCCATTGAGAGCGGCTCATTTTTCTTGCAAAAATAAAATATGTGCGGGGAGAGTATTCACGTTGGAGCGTGTCGACCTGATGGGTTTTTTGTTCACTTTTTTATTTAGTTATCGAGTTTCCTTGAAATTGTGAAATAACAATGTGGACGGCGCGTAATGAATTCGTTTACATGTTTTTTTTTCTTTGGCTCTTTCGCTCGCGTATTTTAATAATTACCAAATATCTGGCTGCTGTCCTACAACGGGCAGGGCATTATAATAGTTTCATATTCGATCTTGATTTCAAGGTTTCACGGCTACACTTAATGATGTTTTCTTTACTTGTGCAATTTTCCCAACAGCTGTGGCACAAAAAGAGAGAGATCACTTTATCGTGGACGGAACTCCACCACAACCGCCCGACGACACCGGACTCCCAACACCCTTCCCATTCAGACGACGGCAGAACGTGCCACGAGGTTGTTTGGGGTACACGAGCAATGAGAGCGCGACTTACCCTCGAGACGTGACAGAACCTGAGGTTAACGTAGAGATCGGTAGACCAGCACCTCCATTACTTTCCATCTGCATCGTCCGACTGTCAATTGCCGGACGGCTGCTGCTGGTGGTGGTGGTGGGGTGAATGTCCACACTTAAGTTGTCTCTCTTTCGTGAGAATTATTTTACTATGTTTTATTTTTATTATTTTATTATTTCTATTCTACGTGACTTTACCGAAAGAACCAAGAAGATTGTCTCTCTTTGTACCACGGCTGTACCGAAAATTTACGGTGAAAACGCTTCATATTCGCGAACGCTTTGTAAGCTGTACATATCATCACCACTAGTGCATCCATTATATGAATGCATATTTTTAGAAGGCGGTGGGGGGGGGGGGTAAATGATGCATTTCTGATCATTGTTTTGTTGTAGACGACTGCTGCTGCCCCGCTGGGGTCCAGTCCCAATCCTTGTAATTGTTCGGAGTGGTGGTGGTGGTGGCAGTTGTGGTGGTGGTGGCAGTTGTGGAGGTGGTGGCAGTTGTGGTGGTGATTGCGACAGTGGTGATGACTGCGTTGGTCGTGGTAACAAGTGCTTACTCGTGGTGATGATTTTGGTGACAATTATTTTGGAGATAGTGGTGGTGGTGGTAGTCGTTGATGATGATGATGATGGTGGTGGTGATAATGGGGATGGCTTTAGCTGTGGCGGTGGCAGTGATGGTTGCAATGGTGGTTGTGGAGACAGTGGTGGTGGTGGTGGTAGTGGCAGTTGTGGTGGTGGAACTGGTGATATGTTTATCTCAGTATATGTTCCTATTTTCCACGTCCCCCCCCCCCACCCCCTCCTCCGCAAAGCTACCTACATCTGCAAAAAGCTTTCACAGCTGCTGCTCCTTCCTTTGCTGGAGATTATAGCGCTGCCTACACCATGACAGAGGACAGATGTGGCCTTTCCAAAACACCGTGCCACTTGCCTCCATCACATTATCTGTTCATCAGCAAAGAAAAAAGCCTCCCCTTGAATCATCATCAACAGGAAGCATTCCTCGCAGGAACGTCACGATCTGATTATTAAAATCCATTCCTAAAACTCACTCGCATCGCAGTGTGCATGCTACAACCCATTATTTACGATGCGTACGAAACGGTGTACTCAAACGTTACATTTAGACAACTGGAACAGCCAATAAACAACAGAAGCGAGACGGTACAATACGACGAAATAACAATAAATGTTGAGAATCGAATCGCGATCCCGAATCGTGACCTCGAATCGTGACAATCCATAAAATCACAACAACATTCGGAATCAATTATCGCATCCACAATTCCTGCTTAGGGTGGAGAGGGGGGGTTATGCAGTGGCTAGCGCACTGCGCTATGAACCGACTCGGCAACCTGAGTTAGATTCCTGGCCACGGCTAATATCAGTGGCAAATCTAAACAGATTCTTCAGATTTATCTAAACAGATTCTCACCCCCCTCGCCCCCCACCATTCTCCCCACCACTCTCCCCACCAACCCCCCTAGCCCTCCCACCAAGCCAATCCACACTGCCCAAACAGCAGCATATTGATAAACATCTGCCAGTAATCATTGTATTATTAATGCCTGCTTTTCTCAAAGGCCTCTCCATCTCACACTTAAAGCAGATACATATGCATCCTTGGTGAGAATATTTCGTGCTCACAACAAGGACCTCCCCTGCTCACCCCAAAGGGGTTACGTGGCCCTGAATGGTCCCTAGTTAATAGTGCTTAGCCTCAAGACCCAACATTGTTGACACGTTGCAGGCCCCCGTGTTGATTGGCACGAGCTATCGCCCCAAAGCCAACGGGATCCATTCCACCCTCGTTGTTCGACCGTAATGAGCAGATGGGATGGACCGTAGCGACGAGACAATTTGCACGGAGCAAATCAATGGCTCGATTCCCAAAGCCACCCGTGGATTCCTAACGAGGAATTACCAAAGTGCTCCATGTTTGCATTAAAATGGACGATCTTAAAGGCTCCGTGACACGGTCGTTCGAAGTGCGGGCTCATTGTGGGTCGGTTTCTACGGTTCCGAATCGCAAAAAAAGTGCTGAAATCACCTCCAACGACTTAAACGAGCCATCCGGATTATCCTGAGCAACGGGATAAGGCAATACGTGTCGATGGATTCTCATTTGCTTAAGTAATTCACGTTAATATTAATTGATCTTGATTGATTTTATGAATGTAATTATTAGAGAGGTGGCTGGGTGGCTCAGGCGAGAAATCACTGCGGTGGCACTGCTGAGAACCTCTGGGTTCAGCCGACTGCGATGAAACCTGGTTCTCAAGTGAAACGTGGCTCTCAAGTGAAACGTGGTTCTCCAGTAAAACCTGGTTTTGGTTCTCAGGTGAAACCTGGTTCTCAAGTGAAACCTGGTTCTGGTTCTCAAGTGAAAGAGAGCGCAGGCAACGGCTCGACTAAAAAAAAGAGACTATATCTTTTTTAAAAACGTAATATTAAATCTGTTTTTTACATTGAACATGCCAAAAAGAAAACCCAGTTCTGATTTCCACGTGGCAATCATCTCGACGGCAAAGAACACTCGTTTCTTTAGAACCGCTTTTTGTGTTAAGTTTGTTTCCCTTGCCCCACACCTCTGATTATCGACGGTCGGCTACGTACGGTGCGAAAGAAGTTCTACATACGGTGCGCAGACATATACGTACAGTACAAGGACACAATGGGAAAGAACAGCGCCCCAAGTGCGGGCGATAAACCACTGGCATGAATTTCAGAAGTAGATCTGCGGTACCTCCCTCCGTATGCTGTTCTCTAACTCACGGTGGGGAAGGGGAGAGAATTCCGAATGAAAAAATGTTTCGTCCCATGACACCGGCGGTCAAAATTGGAATGAAATTGGTGGGGGAGGGGGGGGGAGGGAAAATAAAACGCAAAAATTGTGGGCTAAAGAGAAGAGCCGCATTATAAAACATCTCTTTGGCATTCGTTCGTTAGAGCACGGCGAGAACGCGCGTTAAATGAGCGCACGTGGTCTGGCACGCGGCACTTAAAGTCACGATCGAGCCAGCGTCGTTGACACAGCACGCGGCGCACGGCTGTAGCGGCTCCCGTTGGCGTGTCCGCTCGCTCCGACTTCTCTCCGGCGGCGTCTCGAGGTGAACGCCACCCGAATGATGGACGCACTGGGTGGGTGCACTGCGGCCGCTCACGGCAAGTCGGGAAGGAACGACTCTAAACTATTTTTTTATTTTATCGGGTAAGGTCCACTGAGCTATGCAGCTCTTTGTCCGAAGCGACTTGGCTATCACAAACGATAGCTCAACGAAGTGACTTATCACGTGCAACTTTATAGCAGCCAAATACTCTAAACGCATGATGTTTCATAATCAGAATTTTTCTTTATTTATACTGGATAAATCTATGAGCTGTGGAGCTATTTTATACATATGTCCAGTAGGGACGGGTCAGAAAGTTACAATAACATATGTGGGGGAGGAAAGCCGGAGGACCTAGAGAAAAATGCACACAACCACGGGGAGAACACGCAAACTCCAAATATACAGGCGTCAAGGTTGGGATCGAACCTACGACCTCCTGTATACCAGGCAAGGTAGTTAACATCTCGCCACCGCGGCGCTCCACATGGGCAAGCGGTGTTCTAGAATCCCATGATCCTTGTTGTCTTTGTATAAGTTAATTTGAAACGTGGCTTCTCCATCAAAGTATGGCACGTAAAATAACAAAACACTCTTTCATGATTACCGTTTCTTTCGTCCCCATCATCATCGTCATTCTTATTTTTAAAGCAAAAATTAAACCGTCACCACTTCACCGTTTCCATCCACAACATCGTTGCAATACTTCCTGTCGCAATTTATAGAAAAAAAATGTTTTGTCCGAACAGTTATATATAAGCGGAAGCGTCCATTTGACCGTGGCAACGGCCCACTTTGGTCACGAGACTCGAACAGTCCCGGACCGCGTGTTCATCTTCCTTGCCCTCCTCCCCACGTGCCACGTGAACTCCACTGGGGGGGGGGGGGGGTGCAGCCCCCTGGGTCCGTAGGTCATTGCCGATCGCAGCCGTCGATATATAAAGGGCCTTGCCGAGTAAGGCTCACTATGGTCCCGGTCTGGCCCCCAGAGTGTATCATCATCAGCATCATCACCGTCACCGTCGTGATCATATTCATGAAAAAAACACAACGCATTACACAGCATCAGCATTGTAGTGATCAGTGGAGAAGGGCACGAGTTAGTCCAACGTGGAACCTCCGCAGAAAAGTGCCCAATGCTGCGATGTCTTCCTGCACCGATGTCCAACCCGGGTTTCGCCTCGCAGCAAACCACGACCCCCCACCCCCCGCCATCCCATCCCCTCTCTTCATCTCTCGCGTGCTGAGCGCACCTCCTGTCCCACTCACAACCCCATCCCCAGCAGCAGCAGCAGCATCCCCTCCTGCTCCTCCGCCCCATCATCCTCCTCCCGCTGCTCAGTCACCGCCCTCGCTGCGCTTGCTGCACCACACGACGAGGCCTGCGGCCACCGTGGTGAGGACCATGGGCACCGAGATGAAGAGCGCGAGGATCTCCTCGGGCGGGTCGCGCAGAGAGCTCGACTCCGTCACGCAGCCCGACAGCTGCTGGCGGTGGACCTCCACGAAGAAGCTGTCCACCTCGTGATTGGGCCAGAAGCAATGCTGCCACGACGCGGCCTTCTGCGTGCAGTGCGACAGGGACTCGTAGTGGCTGCGGTGGCGGCGACGGGCACACAGAGGGCCGGGGATGAAGGGGGGAGGGCAGTGAGGGGGGTGGGGGCAGAGGGAGCAGGGGGCGGACGGGGTAGGGAAGGTGACCTCGGAGTTAAAGCTCAAGACACGATGCGTTGCTGGAGCCAGGGCTGCCCGGCAGGCTTCTCGGAGGCACTGGGGGCTGGAGGTGTACGTGGGCCGAACGCTGTTGTCTAGCCCTCCTCTCACAACAACGAGCGCAGTGCCAGGCGGCTAAAACGCAGCAAGTTGACACAGCAGGCGGCACAGGTGATGCATCTGCTAGTCATCTCAGTCAGTCAACCTATGGCCTCTGGGTCTTTCCCGTACACCTGCGAGCGGACATTCGACACTTCACGTGGACTTAAAGTGCACATAGCCTTGCACTAGCGCCGTGGTGATGTCACTGCCGCTCCGTGGCGAATGGTGGTTGTGGTTGTAACCCAATGTGCGTGTGCGTGAGTGCGCGGTTCAGATAATCGCCACTGGTGTCGAACAGCAAATGCCCCCAAGAGTCGGTTAAGGCGATGTGGTGGAGGGGGGGGGGGTCTTTGTCTTTGGTGTGAAAAGTTTCTCTCCCGGTCAGCGGCCAGACACGTCCTTCATCCCTCTGGGGCCGACACTATACGTGCGGTAGTTGTTCCATGGCCAAACTCGATCCTGTCATGGAACCGTGGAATTTACACCACTGGTCCCGGGGCACTTAACAGGAGGTGACGAGTGCCACCCCACGCTTGTTTGAGTCGGAAGCCACGGGGGGCTTTTTTTATTTTTAATCGGATAAGCCGCGCAAATCTTGCGAGTAAATTGTTTTTAGTTTCGCTCATGTTCCTGTTCCGCGAGAAGTCGCCCGCCTGGCGGGGTTTGCCTTCCTGTTTTTAACGTGCCTTGCACAATCGCGCAAGCGTTCACGGTTTTTTGGCGTTTGAAAAGTGTCGTGCTTGAGGTCCTGCTAATGTCCTGTGCTACTGCGCTGGCTTGGCCAGCAAGTTGAGCGTCGTCGTCTCTTCGTCGGCCGCGTGACTCGGTGCGGGAAGCTGTCTGGCCTCGTCGCTCCACACAGAGCTCCAGGTCTTGTAGACCCTGTGATCGTCACATTTGTTTTTGGCAACTGTGTCACCCCCTCGTTGAATGTTCTTTCAACCGAGAACTGCCCCCCCCCCCCCATTGCCTAGCGGCCCTAACCCAACATGGTTTCGGAAAAAGAAATGTTGTAAATAATGAACGGCAACATTTTAACCAAATGTCCATTTTGTCAGGTATCCTAACTGGCTAGCAACTGGTGTGCGTGTGTGTGTGTGCGTGTGTGTGTGCGTGTGTGTGTGTGCGTGCGTGTGTGCGTGTGTGTGTGCGTGCGTGCGTGTGTGCGTGTGTGTGTGTGTGCGTGTGTGTGCGTGTGTGTGCGTGTGTGTGTGTGCACGTGTGTGCGTGTGTGCGTGTGTGTGTGCGTGTGTGTGCGCGCGCCACGGGCTCCACACCTGTATATCAGAGACCAGTTGCAGCGCTCGAAGCTACTCAAGTTGCGCAGCTCGAACTCGAACTCGGGGAGGCAGAACTCGTCCATGGCGATGATCATACCCGTGGTGTTGCATGCGGCGCTCAGCGCCAGCGACAACACTGCGGCACACGGGAGACATGGGGCACATGGCACATGGGACACGAAGACAAAAAGATTCCACCCCGTAGAGCCTCTAACAAACCGTCCGGGGGGCCGGGTGTTGTGAGCGAGCCCCGTAACCTTTGAAGTTCCGTTCAAATATTCGCCGCTGTTGTTGCAGGTCGCGAGCGGGAATCAAACTCGTGTGGCCGGGTTCGTAGTGCGGTGCGCTAACACGCGACGAAGGCAAAGACGCTCCTCACACGCACCGCTACCGCTCCCCACATACATGTTTATATATACACACACACATACAAACCTATGCACTCATGTGCATATATCCATACAAAGACAAAGATCCTCCGTATAGCCTTTAACAGTCTGTAGAGGTAAGTGCTGTTAGCGAGCACCTATAGAGGCCAAAACGGTACACGAGGGGGTGCTTGGGCAGCACAACGCCCGACCGCCTTTGTCTCCCCAGTGGCGATGCTTACACACCCCACCAGGTACTCATTTAAGGCTGAGTCGACCTAGGGGAGGCCTAGAACCGGCTCAGATAATCGTCACCGGTGTTGGTGGCCGTGAGCGGGAATCGAACATAGGTCGCTGGGTTCGTAGCGCAGCGCGTTAACCGCTCCGCCACCGCTCCCCAACCACACTGGTCACAGACGTTGGGCACACGACAGGAGACACGTGGTGCAGGGCAGTGGTCGTCTAGAGATAGGGGGGGGGGGGTGCATTTGTAATTGTACTGTGCTCAGTCTATGTGTATGTATGTGTTGAACTTCTTTCGCGCCATACATAGCCAACCGTGCTAATCGAAGGTGTGGGGGAAGGACGCCAAACGAAACACAAAAAGCAGTTCTAACGAAATTAGTTTTCAATCCAGTCAAAGATTTATAAGAAATAATCATCTGCCCGAGCCGACTTGTGCCAGAGGTATTTGACGAACGTTGATTCACATTTTGCAATATTTCTGATTTCGTTTGTAGCGCAGTTGTTTATATTTGCTTCATTGCTGAAATTTTATTTTAATTTCGTGTCATTTTGGTGACCCGATTCACTGGCTACAAATGAGACTCCTATCGTGGTATCTCCAGTTCTTACCCAGTAACACAACAATCAACGTGAACCTGAGGTGCTGACAGGCCATGGGACATGGATGGCAGCTAGTTACACGGGTAATATTTCACATATACTATCACCATCACCAGTGAACCATGGTCCACCCTAAACCGCATCCGCACAAACCATGGCAGATGCGGATACCTGATGCAGAAATGGAAAAATAAAAACCTTCCAGTATGCGACTGTGGTCATCCACAACATTCCGTACAGTGTATGACTCCGCAATGCCCCGATCCACAAATAAACGAAGGAGACATCACGGTGACACACTCCGCTGCTCCTGACGCGCTCATCGGGCTGGAACACCTGAACGTGAAACGTGCTCGTTGCTCTGCAGCTACATCGGCAGCCGTGCGAAAAACGAACAAGTGAAACCAATCTGGATTTGAAGCTTTCGTGATTGCAGGTTATTTCGGTAAAGTCACATAGGTAGATTATTTTTTTCGATGTAAAGCTTTCGTGACTGCAGGGATTCATCTTCTTGGTTCTTTCGTAAAAATCTCCCCGACAGACCTGTTCTTCACCTGAGGACGGCTGCTTGCGTTGTGGCCGAAACGTCGTGAGAATTATTTTATTATGTTTTATTTTTATTATTTTATTATTTCCCTTCTACGTGACTTTACCGAAAGAACCAAGAAGATTATTTTTGGTTTTATTTTTCTACCTATGTGACTTTACCGAAAGAACCAAAGAGTAAATGAAACCATGTTTGTCGCCTGCCGTGGTGTTTGGCGATAATGCTGATGGGATGGTGCTGGAACACACCGCCGCGTCAAATTATGTCATATTGCCACGCGTCGTATTCTATCCGCAAATCGTGACTTAGGAGAGTGATTGGTTGACGTTCGAGTATTTTTTTTAAGGCGACACTACAATGGTGAATGGAAATCTATGAATTATCTCAGCGCCCTTTGTTGTACGGTAGTTGGGTGCAGCAGATTGCACAGCCAAGCGCCTTGTCCTGCTGCTTGAGTCGTTAGGCTGAGAGCAGTCGTCTGGCTTTCGTCAACGTCACTAAAGCCTCCTGTAGACTTGGAGTTTGCGTGTCATCTCTCTCTCTCTCCCTGTGGTCTCTCTCTCCCTGTGGATTGTTCTCCCGGGTCCTCCGGAGTTTTTTCCCCTCCACATTCAGAATCAACGTCACGCGTTCAGAGCATTTGGGCTGCAAAACATAACCAGGCGACCAGCCACTTCGTTGAGATGTCATTTGTGGAAAGCCAGGTCGCTTCTGAAAAAGAGCAACATTTTCTCAGGGTGCCTTACACCTGGTGAAATAAAAACAAAAAACTAGTTTAGTTTAAAGCGGTTGCAAGTGGTAACTGGTGACGCAGCGTGGTTTGCGTGGCCCCTGGGTGCTTCGGCGGTCCAATGTCCCTCGCTCTTCAGAGCCCAGGGCCTGCCCCCCCCCAGCCCCGGGCACCCCCCCCCCCCCGCTCCTTCCGTGCCCCTCCCTCCCGACCCCTGCCCCCAGCCGGTGGGTCCCAGCCCAATGTCACAGGCTGCCCACTGAGTCGCAGCGTTTCTCTCCGTAGACACGTATAGGTTCATTTACGAAACCAGATATATTTTTTATTTGACCAGGTAAGGCCCACTGAGCTATACTGCTCTTTTTGTCAGAAGCGACCTGGTCACAAATGATCGCTCACCGAAGTGGCTTATCACGTGGAAATGTATTGCAGCCAAATACTCCGAGCGGCATGTTTCTAAGTGTGGAGGGGGGAAAACCGGAGGAAAAAAATCCACGTTAACACGGGGAGAACATGCAAACTCCAAATTTACGGCAGGTGTCAGGATCGGGATCGAATCCACGACCTTCGGTGTACCAGGCGAGGTAGTTAACATCTCGCCACCGTGGCGCCCCATATATTAGACGCGTCCACGGAAGCTCTGGGTGGAAACCAATGCAACACAAACAGCAGATACCTTATAAAGACAGCGAGGCAGATTTGTCAAAACAAATTTCAACTGAGGGCGCAACATAGACTAAACGTAATGTTGAAGTTTAAATTGATGGTTCGATACAGAAAAAAAAAACTGTCTTCTCAAAATAAGTTACACATTCCTATATACTGTGTGCAAACTTAAAGTCTCGTATTCCAAATGGAGACACAACCGAGATATAAAGGGTAAAAATGCAATGCATACAATGTAAATGCGAGTTCAACTGGACATAGCAGAGGCAATTCAAAATGAGGTACGATTTCAAATGAGATATAAGACGAGGTAAAATGTTAACAAATGTAATCTAAGAAACCCATGCTACGTTGTGTCCTGCATGTGACAGTATCCTTGCCTGCTGTGGTCGTGTCACAGAGAATACAATGTCGAGCACGGCATCCGCAGTTATCGGCGATGTTTTAGGCGGTCGCCCTTCTACAAAGTACAAGGGCCCACTAGGTGGCTGTGATTGCACCATGGTGACCGTGCCAGAACATGTGCCATTTGAGGGCACGTAAAGTGTGGGAGGCTTTCTGGCAGGCCAGGTCCAGACCCAGGTGTTACGGGTGAACTGAGATGACTGGCAGACGCACCACCTGTGCTCCCCGCCGTGCCAACTGGCTGTGTATGAGCCGCCCGGCGCTCCGCTCGTTACTTTGAGTGTCGCTCGTCTACTTCCAGTTGTTGTTAGAGGGCAAACTACCTCTCTGGTTTCGATCCCTCTGGTCTATCTGCTGTGAAGAAAGGCCAATGCCTAAAACATCACACGTCATAGTTGTTATTGACGAAAGGTGTTCATTTTTTTCGTGTAGTTGTTTGTTTATGTGCGCCACTGACAATTCAGCAGCAGTAGCAGCAACGGATACCTTGTTGAGGACAGGCAAAGGGACAGCATCTCCCTGCTGATGTCGCCAAGGATCATCAACCATCATCACGCGAACTGCGGTCATCCTCGCAGCAGTAGCAGCTGCGGCAGCGGCCTTTGACTGCTGCCCATCGGTCAAAGACGGCGGTCACCGCATCGCGCGCTTGCCGATGCGCTTCTGCGGCCGTCTGGAACGCTCTTCCTTCCGATATTAGGAAGCCGCTGGAGCCGTGCACTTTTACATCAATCAATCTAGCATCGACATCTCATTTCTTTGGAACTGATTTTTGTGTTTAGTTTGTTGTCCTTCCCCCGCACATCCAATTAACGAGGTTGGATATGTACAGCGCAAAATAAGTTCAACATACACGCATGCATACATACATCTCCACCATGCATCCCTATAGGAACGGCTCCAGAAACCCTCGTGCAGGGTGCGGTGTGCTGGGGAGGAGACGGTGATGAGATGGAGGGACCTGGAGCTATGGACCGGCCCTCGTGAGAAGAAGAGGTCAGATTGTGGGCGATAATCAACAAATGCCTTGGTCAAGAGTGGTGCGATATAACGCAATTAATGAGATTGGGATGTAGATAGCGTCTGAATGAAACTCCGTCTCAAGGCACCGTTCACTGGATAAAATAGGGGCAAATTATTAAATTGAGGGCCACCAAAATTGGAGCTATTTTATATATATTAAAATATTTTACAAAAAATATATTTTATATACGCAGGGTATCGATTAAGGTGTCACCCACCAATAGGGACCCACACTAATACAGCTGAATGAGCAGGGTCAGTTAAGACAAAGAACCCCCGTATAGCCGTAACAGAATGTTGGAGCAAGTGCCGTCGTGCGAGTCTCTTGTCTCTAACCACCCACAAGTCCTGCACACAGCGTTGGTGTGCGGTGTTTTTTTCTTCAATATTTTGCTGTCTTTTCTTGGATTTTCTGTTTGCACTCAGTCACATATTCACTTTAAGATGTTTTTTTGTTCATGTTTTTATTTTTTGTTTGTTGCCGTTGCACCCGATTCAAGAGCCGAATGGCTCACATGGCTATACCTGATAAATGAACTTGAACTTGAAGT